ATGGCCTCGTACGCGAGATCCATGTAGAACGGCGTAGTGTAGTCTGCGCGCACGATCTTGTTGATGTCTGTGGAGGCGGCCTGGTGGGGCGGGAAGGGCGAGCGATCGATGACAGTGATCGAGCTGGGATCCGCATGGGTGAGGGAAAGGTGGTAAGCGGCACTGGTGCCGAATATGCCGGCGCCAACGATGAGGATGTTCGAGTGGTCGGAAGGCATGGTGGGGGTTTTCGCAGGCATGGATGTGGGGGGGGGGGGGTTTATATCAGTATTGAAGGTCAGTAGAGACCATTCCGCATCAAGAGATAAGCGGGACAATTCATCTGCTTGTTTCGCTGTGGAGACACGATATATGTCGCTATCGCGATGTCGTGTTGTTGAAGGTATGCTGTCGCGAAAGCGCAGCCGAGGTACATCGACGATCGCTGAGTCAGCAACTACCACAGTATAACTTTGGAGGCCATGGTACTTGCAGCACTCTTGACTACCAACATGCCACATGTAGAGATCGGCTTTTTTTGAGCCGATATTGGGCTATCGGGGAGATAGTCGTGGTTTTACCATGTGAGCAAGAAGACAGATTAAGCGGGGGTGCAAGGCTGGCCCGATTACGGTCTCGGATCAGCTTAATGACTGTTTTCTATCAACAATTGGTGCAATCTCACAGGATGCGCAGGTATACGAGAACATGTGCGCACTTTCGTCCAGTCACGTATGCCCAGGACCTTCAACCATGTATGATATCAACGGTTCTCTAAACATCCAGACATGAGACAGCAGTCATACAAAGACGAGTTGATATGGCAGGTGTGCACTCATCCTGCAGGTTGGACGGAGAGGAGCCGGACCAGGAGCCCACCGTCATCAAACAATAAGAGTTCATCTCCAGCCTCTCAGTCTCGGGGCGTCAGGATCACAGCACGTCCGCTCAGGATCTATGGCGGCATCGTCAGACGCCAGAGAAACGAATATTCCTAATTCGGCAGTGTTCACATCCATCGTTTGCGGTTGCCCTTCGCTCTCTAGGGTTATGCATGGCCACGTCATAGCTCGCGCCCACAACCAAGACCTCAGCAGTCCGACCTTTCCCAGACACTAGCAGACAGTATGCCCGGGTACATGCTAAGCTTGCCGCACATCTTCAAATCCATTTCCAGTTCATTCTCTGTCGTCCTGATCCTCGTGGCCTTTTCGCCTGCCACAAGTGCCTTTCGCCAATGAATCATCGGCAATCGTCTGACGTCTTGTATACTGTCCGCTCCTCGGCAGCAGACGAATGAGAGCCTTAGAGTACAATCAAACCGAAGAAACAAGCTTCAGTACGATTGGTGGGGCTCCTCTAAAACATAAATCGAGACTGTCAAGTCGAGGCTGAGTATACTTGTGCGAGGCCGTCTGAAGGGGTCATCCAAAATCACGCTTCACTTTTCACGACGGCAGACAGTGTTCCTAACGCTATCGGGTACGAACAAGACAAACAAGAGGTCGAGGAATCGAAGCATGGCGTACAATTCAAAAGTAAGTTTTGAAGATAATCAACGACATGGGGCCATTCCCCCACTTCAGCGGATAGCCGAAGTTGAATATGAAGCGGCCACTGGCTTAAGCACACAGTATAGCAACTAAATCGACAGCAAAGCCTTCGAGACTGAGAGCGAGCATGCATCGAGCACTGAGAATATCAAGTCAAATGACCGTTCAACAATACCTTGGTAGACAAATCTACTACGCTCCCACTGGAGCAGGAGTCAGTGATCTAGGAGTACACCCAAGGTAGCACCCGCCAGCCAGATCTACTGTATCAGAGTTCTCACCAGGGAAGCTTATAATTGGGTCGGGCCTATATGTTTCCCATTAGGTTTAGAACCCAATTTAACAAAACAAAGTGTATTTTCCCGGAAGAGTCCCGCATGGACCTGTTCCCGTACGATATGCGGCTATTCCAGGGGGGTGCGACACCTCAGGTTGCCAAATACGTCCAGATTCTACTCTGTTCCCGATTCGGACAAGCGGCGTTAGCGGGTTTACGGATTTCACGGCGTTTAATGAGGGCTATCCCCGTTATACAACCACTGGCAAGGTTCCGACAGAGTAGTGAGCGAGCGCTGAGAGCTACAATCAGATGATTCTTAGGCAAGTACCTCTCTAGACACTCCCAGGTTACCTCCGAACATTGCCTCCGTACGTTAGCTTATCTATATACGCTAAGGGAACGCCAATTGCTTCGAGGTCACATCTCCAAGGCCCAGAGAGTCTCAAACAAGCCGAAGCAATTGAGCCATACGACAAAGACCCATGTCTCGATCAGCACCTCCCCCTCCCTTGCTAGAGGACGGCAAACTCGAAGCGATCGGAGAGAAAGCATATCAGGTCGAGCTTGAGAAGGAAAAGCAGAACGTTGAGTCCAGCGAACCGTCCATTGCGGCATCCCCGACTGCCAATGGCGTAGAGAAATCCGAGATCCCTGACAACGATGGTCCTGTTATTGAAGAAAAAGGCGTGGATGGGTCGCAAAAGCCTGTTGAATACCCGAAAGGTGTCGAAATGTTCTTCATCATGCTTGCGCTCGTGCTTAGTATCACCCTTTGTTCACTGGATCAGGTGAGTTCTACCACTCCACGTTTCTCGCAGAGTCGTCCTTTGCCAACCCATCATCCGCCGGTACGCTGATTCCCTCAATCCAGACCATTGTTGCAACCGCTGTTCCAAAGATTACCGACCGATTCGGCAGACTTCAGGATGTCTCGTGGTACGGTTCGGCTTATTTCCTAACGCTCGGGGCGTTCCAGTCACAATGGGGCAAAGTGTTCAAATACTTTCCTCTCAAAACCAGTTTCCTGGTGTCAATCCTCATCTTCGAAATTGGGAGTTTAATCAGCGCGGTCGCCCAAAACTCAACGACTGTGATTGTTGGACGTGCTATCGCCGGTCTCGGTGCCTCGGGTGTCGCGCCTGGAGTATACACAATTTCTGCCTTTTCTGCTGCGCCCGCGAAAAGAGCCACCTACACGGGGTTGATTGGTCTATCATATGGCGTCGCCGCTGTCGCTGGTCCGCTCATTGGTGGAGCACTTACAGATGCGGCGACCTGGAGGTGGTAAGTCAACAATCCTGTACTGCTTTGTCTTTGTTGCAAAACAAGGGACTATATCCAGTCGTCGACTTTTGTCATGACCGGACCTGAGCTGATACGAAATCTTAAGGTGTTTCTATTTTAATCTTCCTGTCGGTGGCCTAGCTGCTTTTGTCATTCTTCTCACCTTCAAGGCCCCTGCAACCGTCAAGCAGATCGATGCTACGCTCAAGGAGAAGCTTCTACAAATGGACTTTCCGGGGACGGTGCTTACAGTGGGTGCATCCCTCGCCTTGCTTCTAGCGCTTCAATATGGTGGTGTAACCCATCCGTGGAATTCCAGAGTTGTGATCGGCTTACTCGTCGGCTTCGGTGTTATGGTTCTTGCACTTATTATCATAGAAATATGGCAAGGCGAACGCGCCATGCTGGCACCACGCCTTGTGCGCCAGAGGACCGTCTGGGTCAACTCTGTATGGGGCTTCTTCTTCGCTGGCGCGTATTTCATCACACTTTACTACCTGCCTATCTATTTTCAAAGCATCGATAACCGCAGTCCGACTGGCTCTGGTGTGCGCCAAATTCCTCTTATCGCGTTGTTCAGCGTTACGACATTTGCATCCGGTAGAGCCATTACGAAGACGGGTATTGCAGCTCCGTATCTGCTAGCTAGCTCTGTGGTCGTAACCATCTCCGCCGGTCTACTGTACACCCTCGACATTGGGACCTCAACCGGCAAATGGGTTGGGTATCAGATCTTGGCAGGCTTCGGGTACGGCATGGGCCTCCAAATTCCGGTTATCATTGCGCAGGCTTTTGCTGAGCCAAGCGACATAGCTCCTGTGACCGCGATCATTATATGTGAGTTCTCCTTCGCCCTGTCTCAGGATATCCTGGATCTTCTTTGTTGCTGTGTATCCTTAAGCTGATTGTATAACTCGTGGACAGTCGCTCGATCTATCGGTGCCACATTCTTGATCGCGGCCGCGCAATCCGGCTTCGATAACCAGCTAGTGCACAAGCTTGCCAGCACCGCACCGAGCGTCGATCCTGCCCTGGTCATGGCTACCGGTGCCACAACCTTGCGCCAGGTATTTTACGGAGCCGAGCTGGACGGTGTTCTCCGTGCGTACGTAGGGGGCATCAAGGTTGCTTTCGCAATTACTATCACGGCCTGCGGCATCACTATCGCTACCAGCTTGTGCACCAAGTGGACCAATCTTAACGCAAAGAAATCCAGTGGTTAAAGCAGCTATCCGCACATTTCTGTTAACAGAATTATCAACGTTTCATCAGATGTACTTGAGGATGGCTACTTAATGTTTATAGTGATAGGATTATGAAGTGGATCGGGAAAATTTTGTGGTGTTCCACGTAAAATCACAATCTAAACCAAACGAACATGGCAGTCAGAGAAAGCGCCGCATCTTCTATCCGATCTCGTGCTGCAGCTTCACCATGGGCTATCAGATGTATGCCGCATCTTCCGTCCGATTTAGCGCTCCAACCGCAGGCAGAGGAGAGGTGAAGTGAGAATATCGTACATGGAACTCCGCTATTGCTGCAGCTCATCTACTCTAGCGCTGCAACCTTATTTTGAGAAGATGTGAGACTTTGCTAATACTGCAACCTTTGTTAGATGGGACAGTGTAGCTACTAACACAATTAGAGGATAACTGGAGTGACAACCTGGTGTGTAAAACTTCACTGTTGCTGCAAACCCACTTACACCACTCCCAACCTATTGCTCACATGCCGACCCGTCAAATTGTGTTGTAAAGTCCCTGGCGCTACTGGTCCCTACGTCTGTCACCGCCAACTCTGCCTCTCAAAGCCTCCCAAACCGAATTGTGCCATCATCCATCGCAAGCACCCAAAAAGAATGCAACACACCCGTCTCGACGAGGCTTGGAAAGATCTAAAAAAGATGGACTTGCTGGGAATCGAACCCAGGACCTTTCCCACGCTTCCGCAGTGCTGTAAAGCACGCAAATGCTAAGGGAAAATTATACCACTAAACCACAAGCCCAGAAGCTTTGTTGAACTATTCTTGAATTCTGATATCTATATCCCAAGAATATTAAATGCGAACTGGGTCTTCGAATGAAATTTCTATTCCAAGTGGCTGAAAATGGTAAGCGAAGATTTCTAGGGCCCCTGAATTGTGGGGAGACTTTCCGAGACGCTAGGCATCCCATCACCACCAGACAACGCCAAAACAGTCTTTGTTGCCCCGCCACACATAACATTAGTTCAAAGAGTAGAATAGATGAAGGGCCACTGCGGGCCCTTTTGCATTGCGTACCACCACAGGCATCTTCTCATGAGACGCAGTGAAGAATTCCTTCCAGCCTTTCTAGACCCATCATCTTATGTGCTCGCTACCGTAGGCAGTTGTTTTCCGTCAAGTTTCTCAAGAGGTGCTCAATAATTGCATGTTCGGACTGTTGTGCTTATACGCAAGCGCTCATGGGGGAATGTCATAATAACGTGACGAAAACGCACCCACGCAGAGCGCAGGGAAACGAGATCAGGCTGCACGTGCCAGCTCTATTATAGCGAGTCGAAACTTGTTAAACAAAGAGCGGAATTAGAAATGCGTCGGAAAACTTGATTTGCGATTGCTTCAATGGACTTCTTTGGCTAATTAAGAGCATCGCCAGAGCGACATGATTTGATAGTAGAAGAAGTTATAGGTACGGCGTATAATCCTCGAAGTCAACAGACCTCTATACGTGCCTTCTTTGCCTGTAAGAGCGTACCAGAAATTATCTTCTTCTTTATGGCCAATGCTTGTGGTCGCATCCAGTAAAACTTTAACCGTACATCCTCACAGTATTCTAGAATCATACTTCTAGACTGAGCCTCCGTAAGATCCCGGTACATCGGGAGAGTAGTGAGAAGCTTGCTCACAGCATCTAGATCGATCTGGTGGAGAAGAGCTTCTACCGCATGGCCTTTAGCTTCAAGGCGCTCCACAAGGCTTCGCAGTTCCATTGCCTTCGCTTCCAGATGAGGGACTGTTAAGTCACCTTCAAACATAGAAGCGCGGACTGCGAAGAAGGAGTCCATAGTATCATGACTCGACTGATACAATTCGCCAATGCGGGTCGTGAACAGGTTGAGAAGATTGTCGGCCAGGGAAGTGGCACTGTTGTAACGCAGAACACCCTCGCGGGCGCAATCACCGAACTCCGTCATTTTAGAGAATGGAATGGTTTGTAGTGGTTGAGATACGACTTCTTAGGTCCGAAGACCTCTTTTGGAAATTCAGCTTGCGCCCGGCGGTTTTGTTCTGATTGTGGGACTATGGTTTCGGGTGAGATCGAGCGACGCTAAGGTTATTATATACAGCTCTGCAATATAAATTCCTGGCTTGGATCATTGTTAGAATCTCAGAAACAATGCTCTTGTGATCCGGTACACAATGTGACCCTTGTTCGAACATAGACACGATGTGATCGAAGATAGCAACCGGTTGCACGCAATGTGACAATGACCTACTCTACTAATTGAGGTAGAGAAAAGCTAGTTGACCTCGAGGTCTTTGTCCTGGAGGTGTAGCCCTTGAGATAATGGTACCCCACAAAGGAGCGCAGACTACGCCTCGGTAATAACCATGTCTAGAATATTAAGCAAATGGTAATGAGGTCTGTTACTGCTGTAACACTTGCTAGCACATACATTCCATGTTAAAGCGTCGCAAAATACTATATAGCCATGAATAGTAGGAGAAAAAAGGTGGCACGGGACGATTGGAGGGAGATGGAACTGCCATTGTCGAATCCTAGTCATAAACACTGCTCCACGCCTACAGGGTGAGAAAAATAGACCACGGTGGCCAACTTCGATAGAGAGGCTTCGGCTGCGGATGCACCGGAGGCGGTCGGAATCGGCATGGTGTAGCGACTCGTCGGCATCGTCGGCATCGTCGGCATTATGTCGTAGTGCGCCCTACTGTCCCCCAAAACTCCTGTACTTACATCTCCGCAGGTTTACCAACAAATGCGCCTTATGATACAGTTCCAAGTAGTAGTCATGACTGGCAGTCACCTGCAGGATCTACAACATGGCCGCGTTGAGCTTCAACAAGCCGACTGCCGAGTGACTAACTTGCTGACGGCGCAGCGCCGACAGATTGGGTGCATACGAATACATTTGCAATACAACTGCTCTAGATCTCCGGCAATAGATTCTTGAAGCTAAATAAGAAGGAAGTGTCTGGGAGCAATTATGAGAAGCGGTATCATCGCGGAAAGCACTACGTCAGGAATAATTGTCACAACTATCGAGAACCATACAGCAGTCAGTACTACAATATGCACATCTTTACCGTCCTCGGATTGATCGCTTCGTCTCTAGTCATGTCTCAGCCCGCAGATCATTCCAAGAAGACTCTTGAGTCCTATGGTTGGACATCCGTCCCGCATGATCAGTCTGTCCTTTTGAAGGACATCAGTCCATGGGATCCCGTGCCTTATGAAGTTACCGATATCCGGATCCCAGACACCGAGCTCGCAAAGAAGGTGAAAGAATACGCACAAGAGCGACTACCGGAAGAAGTGTATAATCATTCCATGCGAGTGTACCTCTATGGTGAGGATTTCTCGCCTCCGATGGAAAACAGTGACCATGAGCCAAGCTAACATGATAGCCAGGCGCCTCGATCGCTCAGAAGCATCTACCTTCGTTTCTACCAAGCTTAGAAACCTACTACTTAACAAGCCTTCTCCATGACATCGGCACTACCCAAGAAAACCTTCATGCAACTCTGTTATCGTTCGAGTTCTACGGTGGTTACCTTGCACTGGACGTCCTGAAAGAGTATGGTGCATCCAGAGAGCAAGCTGAGAGCGTAGCGGAAGCAATCATTCGGCACCAAGATCTCGGCGTTGTTGGTACGATCACTATCGTTGGACAATTGATCCAACTAGCTACTCTTTTTGGTACGTCCAAAATCTCGCAATTGAAGCCACTGGAGCAACTCGGTCGAATTCAGACTAACGTGATAGACAACGCGGGCAAGAATCCTACCCTCATAAGCAAGCATACCATTGAGTCGGTTGTTGCCGCTTATCCGCGCAAACAATGGTCCGGCTGCTTCGCACAAACGATCGAGGAAGAGTTGACTCTGAAACCATGGGCACACTCTTCAGCAATCCCAAGGTTCGCTGAGACTGTAGCGGGGAACAAATTGATGGAGCCGTGGGACCGCTAAGAAGCAGTCTTACTTGAGGGATGGATTGATGCTGTCGAATATGGAAGTATAGATCTACCTCTGAGACGTTGCGACCGATTGCTTGCTCTTTGAGGCACTTCTCCCGCAAAGGCTTGCTGTAATTCCTGTAGTTGATCATACTACTACGCATGAATGCCTGCTCTCTACTCTTGCTGTTCTAATTCATCGCTTAGTCTTCCGAAACCGGCGCTAGTACTGATTCTTGGAAGAAACCAGTATCAGCTCTTCGTGTTCAAATTCCCCACGGTTTCTTCTCGGAGATCCTTCATGGATTCGATGTTCTCCTGGTGCACTCCCTCATACGCGTCACAATAGACCAGTCTCCCCGCGACCAAATCATCTTTTACCACTTGGTCGAGTTTCTTTATCCACGCGACAGGCGCCTCAACCGGTTCATCCATAGCCTTGAGATACCTAATCGTGGCATCTATCAATGATTTATCGAACCCTCCAGCCTCGATCCGGTCCGGACTTCCATGCGCCGGTAAGATTTTTTTGATGGGCCATTGTGCCATGCGCTCAAGCTCTCGCAGGTGTTTATGAAGGTCCTGAGGCTCTGAAATGTAGGTTACGGTATCCTCGAGCATGTCTCCAGCGAGCACCAGGCCTGATTCTGGGAGGAATAGGAGCGTCGAGTCTGTGGTGTGGATCTGGAAGTTATGCAGCTCGACTTTGATGTTGCCAACTTGAAGCGAGAGGCTATTTTCATATGTTTCCATAGGAAGCACAACGTCAATGCTCGGTCCTTCGTCTTTGCCTGGGTTTCTCAACTTCTGCTCATCCTTCTTCAGCCTATCATATGTGCCCTTGTGCGCGATAATCTTCGTCTCCCGTAAAGCTGAGGCACCAGCTACATGATCGCTGTGGAAATGACTGTACACTGTGCTTATAGTTGTGGCACCCAAGCTTCGCACATGCGCAAGCATGTGTGCTGCGTGCGCAGGCGTTAGACCTGCATCGAATAGGACAGCAGTACTTCCGCTGATGATACTGTATGTTGCAACGCCCAAGGCCAAGGTCTCATCGTACCAATTTGACGAGTGCCACGGACATGTACGCCCGTCGTAGTATGCGTAGATACCGGTTGTTCCATCGGGGCGGAAGGTGCGGAGTGTGGGAACCACAGTTGAGTCATTTGCGGTCGCCATGGATGAAGTCAAAGAGTTGCGGAAGCATAAAGATCTACAAAATTTCGGAATGCTAGCTATGCGGCGGACACAGCTTGTTACGAAGGGCTGAATGTACAGCCTGAAGCTCAATGCCTGGATCAAGCTTAGGGCGCTAGTCTGCACTTGGAGAACAACGCCTATGACATCATTCCTAAGGTATGTTATTGGTATCAGGGAGATCTCATTCTCTTCACTCCACCGGGTGCATCGCGTTTCTGAAACATGATTTCTAGCCTGGGATCAACCCGACGTTAACGAAAGAATTCATTCCATAGCAAAGTCGAACACTCCGGCAGCGACCTTTCCTCCCATCGTGCCATCATCGCTCCACGTAATGAGCATTTTGCCTTGCCTCAGATCACTCCCCCAAATGTGCGGATATATGCAGTATCTTGTCTTTGCGTGTTCGGTGATCTTGGGCATTTCACCGAGCGAATGAACATCCCACGGTCCTTCCGGTCTCGGTGCAGCACCAACGTACAGCTTACTCGTCATGAACTTCTCGCATCCGAACCAAAGGTATTCTTTTCCAAGTGGTGCAAAATCAGGAACATGTATAATGGCGCCCTGCCCTTGCCCACAAAGTACATCATGAGCCAGCTCTCCAAAAGGCCCGTGTGG